ATGATTCACGTTAACAAATACAAGTTCAACGGCGCTGGAACGAGGGCATTGATGGACGATTATTCAAATTCAGACTATTCCAGGCCAAGATGACCATCTTGATCACCACATGTCGACTTGACTTGAAAATGTCCAGGTCCGCCAAGAATGCTTAGAAGACAATTAATAACTTAGAAATCTTGAAGGGTAAAAGTGAACTTTCATCAACGAGGCCTACTTTGAAGAATTCTTTATTTCTATAAGACCACATGACCGTTTCTAGAAAGTCATGTTATATCTAAGGAAAGAGCCTTTAAGTGTAAAATATTTTCCCAAATATTTTAAAATTCTGTTAAATTTATATAATCATTATGTGTAAAAGATAAGACAAGGAGTAAGAATCTCTATTATGATAGAATAACTCAGCTCTTCAATTTGGCGAACCACTTTTTTTTCTTGTGCATTTTTTACGCGTTTTGCCTTATACACATAACATTTCTCACTGAGAGCTCATTCAACTCATCCACCGCACGCTTCTCCTTTTTTTACGCCACTTGAATATCAATAATGCTATTGAGATCAAATTTAAAGTATAAATTTGGGAACATATACATTAAGACAATTTGGATTGATAGTAGACTTGATAAAATGTTGGAAGTTGGTGCTAATTTAAAGGCCATAATGTACTAAATCTTCAAATTAAGTCCTAATAATATTGTTAGAAGGAATTTGAAGAGAATTGCAGCTGAGAGACGCCGCACACCCTCGACCGGCGCCTTCCTCCTCCTTGTGCACTATGCTATAAGGAAAAGACTTCATCTCTCTCTCTCTCTCTAACCAAATCTATAGAAAGTTTATGTTAGTGGTTTGAATTGGGTTTTGGTTTTTGGCTGTGATGGTAAAGCCTCGCTTGTGGAGTGTTGCCCCCTTCTCTCTTTTTGTGATGCTACTCCGGCAACCAAGTTTAACCCAAGTTCAACACGAGTAACAAACGGGTCGTAGGCGTCTAGTTGAAGCTCAAGTTTGAACAATACTCAGGTTAATAGTTTTATATCTCGAGTTGCGCTCGAATTTACTTCTTAACTAGTCTGACACACTAGAGTTGCATTCCTAGAATTTATTAGACTTATACTCTTTTTTTTTTTCAATAGTCATGTGTGTTAAGGTTAATTTATTTGCACGTCGATTTTTTTTTTTTTGTCTGATCAAATGCAAGTCATTTATGCCGGAATTAGATAATTTATGAGAGATAAATATCTTATAAGTGCCAAGATTCGAACTTAGAACATTTAAATTTACAGCTCATATTTGTTACCACTCGAACAAACCATTAAATTTTTTTTTTTTCATTTTATTTACTCTTTGATTTCTCTCTCTACTACATACGTATACTAACGTTACCCGTGCAATGTACGACAAGATTAGAATAGATATTTGAAATAATATGCAAACGGATTTATTGTGGGTAAAATAAAAATAAATAAATTTATTGTGATTAAAAAATTATTTAAAATATAAATAAATAAATTTACTATGATTAAAAAATTTACAAAAAATTGTAAAATGCATTATTGAATATAAATAATTTGGACCATTTTTTTACTACTGCAAGTTCTGTGTTATGATATAGACATTCGTGGCACCAGAAATGTTATTCATATCAAAATTTTTATTAAATGAGTTGTCAGTTTAAGATCACTCTTGAACCCATCAAATGCTGATCAAAATATTTTTGATCGGATATAAAGTTGCCAACTCATTTGATAAATCACTTTTTGATAAAATTTTAGGAGAATTACATCTTGACCCCCGAGATTTGTCAATTAATTACTTAGGTCCCTTAACATTTGAAATGTTACACACAAATAATCTAAAGTTTGGACGCGTGTAACACTTAGGCTTTTACCGTAAATCTATTCGTTAATAAATTAGACCTAGACCCCTGAAGTTTGTAAACATTTATTATTTAAATCCCTTAAGTTTAAAATATTATGTTTAGACAAAAAATATTTCAATCAAATATAGAATATCAAATATTTTAAATTTTATAAGTAAAATTCATGTCCTATTGTACCATTTATTAAAATAAAATCAAAAATAAAATTTTAATTTTTTCTTAAAAAATCGTAATTAGTATACAATTATTTTATCTATTGAAATTTAATTTGGTTGTTTAAACGACCAAATTAAAATACCAAACTATCCCAATTAAAGCTAAAATATATTGTGTCTATTACAGTTTGACCCCTCATTTAATTTTTTAATTTTATTCTAATAGATAGTATAATTTGTATACTAACTACGATTTTTTAAAAAAAACTAAATTTTATTTTTGATTTTATTTCAATAAATAAAATAGTAGAACATGAATTTTAGTTGTAAAATTCATGTTCTATTATTAATTACTTAAACCCCTTATTTGATATTTTAATTTTATTCCAATGGATAGTATAATTGTATATTAATTATGATTTTTTAAGAATAAATAAAATTTTTATTTTTGATTTTATTTCAATAAATGATATAATAAAATATGAATTTTAGTTGTAAAATTTAAAATATTTAATATTTTATCTTTCATTGAAGTATTTTTGTCTAAGTATAATATTTTAAACTTAAGGGATTTAAGTATTATACCCCTACAAACTTGAGAGAGTTTAGATGTAATTTATTAACAGATATATGTATACCAGGAGTTTACAAGTATAAATTTTAGGAGGTCTGTGTATAATATTTTAAATATCAAGTATGAATGATTATTTCATACAATTTCCCTTAATTTTACAAATCTGTCTCTATTAAACTTAGAAAAAATATCTCTATTATATGACAATCAAGGCACGTGTCAGTACATTTTATGGCAAACACGTTTCTGATTGAGACAACCTAATTGTGAGGCTAATTAAGTAATTATCATAGGAGAAAACTTTGAATTTCGGTATTACACCGTCACTATAAATTTCATAATTTTTTTACAAGAGGGTCGTTTGTAATTTCTATGGTAACTTTGAAAAAAAAAGTTATCACTCAAAACTTTTTCATTTTATTTTTATGAATTAAACCTTAAAAGTTGTTAATTTTTTTTAAACAGACCTAAAAACTTATATTAAATCCTATTGAACTTGTAAAATGCAGACATGCCGTAGTCTTCTCCACTAGTGGGTTTGTTATTAATGATGTACAGTTGAAGAAATAGAACGCTAACTGAATGGATGGTTAAGTTCATTTCATCCTATCGTTTTTGTTTGTCTCTGTCGAATGGTCTTGAGTCAATTTTAATAACATGTTCTAGACAACCACCACAGCTGGTTTAGTTTGGATGGCCAGCTTTTCATATTCCACTCTGAAGTCTGGTGATTTAATGCTTTCGTAAAAGATATTTGTATCAATTGTCACACCCTGTAAATTCAATGCTCTTCGTCACATATGTGCTCGACTCAACTTGACTGAACATGGTAGACTTTTATTCCTTACCACTCAACATGATGTTCTTAGTGGTCATAAATGAGATACTTCTTTTTTTTGGCTAAATAAACCAAAATGTATCAGTAAAATCTTTATGAAGTACATAGGCCTTGAGATACTCTAATCTAACAACATCAAAAACTTGTAGCAAAACAAGGCTGCAGTCCATCAACTAGAACAAGTTATCCAGACAACCCCAGAGAGAGAGAGTGAATTTAATTTTTGGTTGTCCATCAACTAGAACAAGTTATGTTGTGAATTTAATTTTTGGTTTATTTTAGTGGAATGGTAATTAGCTTTATTTATTTATTTTATTTTGGTTTGATAATTGATATGGTAGAATGGTGAATTTTGTGTTTAGCATTAATAGTAAAATGAGTCTGAGCTCGAATTCAAGCTTGTTTGAAAAATCAAGCATAAAATAGCCGAGCTTGACCTTAAAATAAAGCTTCGAATCTGACTAACTTCCAAAATATTCGAGCCAAACCTGAGAATAATCAAGCTCGTTGGGTTCAACTCGATTATCACCCACAAAAACTCTGACAAGAACATCCTTGAGTCCTTCTAAGTCCTTAAATTAGGATGCAATATAAATTCAAATCAATAAAATCATCACTTTGTTTTTGTTCAAAAAGAAAAAATATAGGTCGTTATAATGAAGGTCCCCTATTTGGTTCAAATAGAGAAACCTATAATCGAAAGTAACAGGTGACCCGCATCAGTTTGTTCAGTTGTTGAATAAAAGTTAAGATGTGTAGTTACATGTCTTGATCATGATTTTGAGTTTTATTTGTTTCATAAATTGCTGGTAATATTGAAGTGCATGATTCCCAAATGATTGCATATATTGAATGTGAATGTTACAATGATGAGTCTGAAAAAATGCATAGATCATAATAATGATTATAATCTACCCTTGTTAATCTATTTTGGATATAATTTACCCAATTTACATGTCTTAGACATGAATACATCAAACGTTGTACCCAATACACACGACCCAACATTTAATCAGATTTGGGAGAGGTAATACCACCATTAATTATGGATGGTCGAATACCAAAACTCGAACTCTTAACATAAAATTTCGAATAATAAAGTACTTGTGATCGATCCATCACCTTCTTAACCGTACACATAACTGCATAAGTCCAAAGAGAAGCATTTGTTACATAAAACTGGCCTCTCATACACAAAATTTATACATACACAATAATACCCTCATTTATTTTTTAGGCTATTATACACAAAAGAGGGCCTTCCAATGGTACAATCAATACAAGCAGGTGGCAGAATAGTATTTTCTTCCACCATCAATAACTAGAGCAACAATGAACACGGTACAAAACACACTATTTATACAATACTACTTGCATTATATCGCCCTGACCAATTTTCTAGGCTAATCCATTATCCTTCGATGGCATCATACGACTAGATATAACCCAATGTAATGGCAACAGCGAGATCAACATATCAAATTGCATCATACGACTAGATTTAACCCAAAACCATAATATAATATATCATTTTTTTTTTGAGATCACCAATGAACTTCAAATGGTGTGACTTTTTGAATTTTTCAGCTTCATTTGCTCCAGATATGACTTCCCATCGAGCTTATGAGAGAGGAAGTCTTTAAAGTAGTTCTCCATTGTAATCTTTTTGAATAATGGAGGGTTCTGTGGGTTTATAAGAATGTTTGCTGGTCCAATCTCAGCTTCAAATTTAGGGTTGAAAAACATAGCAATGGAGATCCTTTCTTTCGCTGCATTCACCAGAACCCTGTGCTCGATGCTTTTGTACATACCATTACTGAGGATCTGCGTAATCATATAAGAATAGGAAAGTAGAACCTTTAAAAATTATTTTCACAAAATAATTGCTCTAAAGTTAGAAGCACATAGAATGCATAACATATACTACGTTCTTGGTGTTAACATACTTGTCTAGGTATCAAGAACAAAAAATGCTGATCGAACTTGCAAAATGAAGCCAATATCAAAAAACAGATTATCTTAATTTTCTTGACCATCCAGTTAGTGCTTTCATAAAATATATAAAATACCTTGCTTCATCTAGTACCCTAACCTTTGCTATTCTAGGTTGCTTCATCTTAAACATTGAACTTTCATGCATCTATGCATTTATGTATGTGTTTGTATACACACACACACAAAATCACACACATCTATGTATTTATGTATGTGTTTGTATATATGTTGTGGGTTTGTGACCTTCAATACGAGAATCTAATTTTCAAGTATTTAGGATATTTCTTAATAGTAAAGATACAAGTGTCATTCTTTACCAGTTCATGACATTATTTTTAAAATTTGTGTTATAAGTGAATTATAGTATATTTTTGATTATTCATGACTACAAGATCATCTAACATTTTTTGACTGGCAATTAAAATTGTAGAGATGTAATGTTTGGAAAATGATTAACAAAATCAGTAGAGAAAAAAATTAAACTTTCAAATTCCTTCAAAACATCATTACTTTTCATATTTTAAGAATCCGTTCTATTGGAGACAAATCTCTCTCTCTCTCTAACACACATAGAGACTCAGACATACACGCACACACCCCTAATTGCGAACAAATTTTATTCTTAAATTTTTCTTTTTCTTTTTTCCTTCATTAAAGCTAATGTGAAATACAAAGATTATATGTGCCCTTTAGTTGGGAATGTTTTAATGTTATTTCAATATCGAGTTCTTTGGTCTCCTAGTTCTCTATCTCACAAACTAAGTCTTTGCTTTGTTAACTACTTTCAGACTAAATCTTTCTAATAAATTGATTTTCAGTGCATTTTATAACATATTCCAACAATAATTTTTTTTTTTAATTTTTATGATTATAAAGATTATCAACTAATTTTTCCCTGATTATGTGTATTTGTATTAGTTTTTATTCATAGTTATAGTATTTGATTTTGTTTTGAATCCTGAACTTCTAAGAGATTTAGAATTATTTTACAAATTGGGAGCTAAAATTTCCCACACTGTTAAATCGATTTTTCTGTTTATCATATTTCATGCATCGAATGGGTTTCCTAGCAGTAGAAAGGTAATAATGCCTATTGATTAGGGTTAGTGGTTTTTGACAAGACAAATGAATGCAACTTGAACTCAAATATGTAACATTAAGATTTTCTCCATGATTAGTGATCATTATATCATATTCGGGTATTGACTTGTTTATTAAACATTTCATATTTGAGTTTGACACTATCTCTCCAATTGACAAGTTTATCGTTCGTGACACCTGTTTAACATTTGTTTGTGATCTCAATATATTTTGTGAATCCATTTAATACAAAATTTTAAATATTGCAGCATTTTTTTTAATTTTTCTTGACACAAATATGATTCGTGCAACATGCTTATCCAACCAAACATAACACAATAGGTTATATAATCAGTGTATTGTTAATTGCATAGTAATTTCGGTGTCTTAGGGTTAGCTATTTTGACGAGGTTAACTATTTATTCTGTAACGATTGACCAAATTTTGACATGATTAAATTTGACAAGAAATCTAACCCCGTACATACTGATTGCCAGCCTAATCAGTCGTCTGGGTGCATATCAGTAGAGTACAAATACTAAAATTGTGTGATGAAAACAAATATTAACCTCTCAAACATGACCCTTTGGTAGGAGTCTAAGTATTAGTATAGTATTATTATATACTGTTAGAATATGTGTGGCTCATATTTACTGTGTGTATAATGGCAAGGAGGCAGATGTCGGAGCGAAGCCCGCGACGGCATCTGCCTTGCGGGATTTATATATAGGGGACGCTGATTAGTTGGGGGTGCGGGGGCAACGCCCCCGCGGTACGGTACAGGGATATTTTTGTAAATACGTTCATATTAGGGTTATATAAATACTTAAGATGTAACCCTACTTCAAGAATGGAAAAAAACGGCCGCTCGCTCTCGTGGATGTAGGCACATTGCCGAACCACGTAAATCTCTGTGTGTTATTTTCTCCTGCTTTCTTAATTGTTTGATTCCTTACTATTCACCATAACTGCTGCACGATCGCAACATATACATATATAGAATTTCATGAGATATATATATATATATATATAGAAGTATGGCAAACCTCAAGAATGTCTCCCACATTCACGACAAAGGCATCTGGGAGGAACTTAACAGGAAACCAAAATCCATCCTTTTTAATTTGGAAGCCTGCCACTCCATTGATTTCTAGAAGGATGGTAATTCCAGTAACATCTGAGTGAGGAGTGAAGCCCATGACTTGCTCTGGTTGTGGGCAAGGAGGATAGTAATTCATCCTCACCGATTGCATCCCATCTATAAACATCTCTTTTATCTCTTCCTTATCAATCTTTAGTGCGTCTGCCATTAACCCAAAGAGAGTCATGGCAATTTTTTGCAGCTCTGAGAGATAAGACTCCAGAGTATCCCTGCAGCGAATCAGAGATTAAGATGATAAACGAGTCAAATTTGAGATTGAACACGAGTCTGAACTTGAGTTTACACTTGAAGACAAGTATAAGATCGGTATACTTAGTTAGATGAGTTGAATCGACCTAGACAATAAGTTAATGAGACAGCTTTAACAAAATATTTGAAGCTCGCCATTATCCCTCACTCTTCGTGAACAAAGTGAGCCCCAAAACATGGCGCTTGTTCCGCTCGTTTTGACCGTTAGATACCTTTTTGTATGCTTAGAAAGGTATATATGATGCTTCTGCCTATATATATATATGATCAGAGAGAGAGAGAGACAAAACCTAAGTGATACTGGGAGCTCAGGCAATAAGTGTGGCTTCCTTCTATGTATTGGGTTGGTTATCATGTAAAGCCTATCTACCCAGTGAGCCTTTTCATCTTCAGGCCGGATCATGGTAGGGCCATACCCTTCAACATCACCAGGCTTCACCTTGTATTTCTCTTTCACAGGAAGCTTGTAAAATTCTTCAATCTCATGTTTTAGCTTTTCAACCAGCAAAGAGCTAACTCCATGGTTCACCACCTGTAGATGATTCAGAACAGTTAGGCTTTATGATATTTATACCAAATTTCTATTGTGTATCTTAAGACGTGCAAGTTTATGTCTTAGCCCTTGTTTGGCCATGAAGTCAAAATACTGTTCCAAAACTACAAAGTTAAATGGATGATAAAGATTTGAGTGATGAGGGCAATCACATGAAGTAGTCAATGACAATTTTGAGATAAAGGAGGAAAAACCTGAAAGATGCCCAAGGTTTTGCAGATTGAGTGCAAATTTTCGAGTTCTAAATCCTTGGCCCCTCCTACACTCAAGTTTTTCATGTCAACAATGGGCAAGGAAAAGGCATCTGAGAGAACAGTTGGTTCTTGATGTGCTTGAACATAGCGCTGTGGGATGGTAAACATGGGCTCTTTGGCAAGCTCTTGAACACTCAGTAAACTCTTGTCATTCATGACGGGCTGAGAGGAAGCCATTGCTCAATTGTAAGTGTACATATTCAACCACCTTAAGGTGGATATTTATAAGTCCCAGTAGGCATCTTAGTGACAAGGGGCTGGTTCTCCATAACTCTATTGTCGTAGGTTTGACTTTCATTGGTGTCTCTTTATTACTTGTGGTTACAGATGTCTGGGTTACCATGTGTAAAAAGGTTTTATCATAGTAAAAAAGAATGAAGTGCATAAAACACAATTTCCTGGGGCAACCACTAATTAAAAATGAAACCAGAGAAATCTTGAAGCAAAAGATGCTGGAAGCATAAGTGTAACGTCACCAAATACAAAATCAACGGCGCTGGAACATGGGCATTATTTTATTGTTACAACTCTGATTCTAGTTGATACTTTATGAAAAAAATAAGTTACAGATGTGTAAAAACTGATAGTCACTATGTTTTTCTATAGTTATGCACTCGGTCTGATTTTGATCCACATGATGATTTATAGTTTCTAATTTGATTCTCGACTTCAAAACCAAAATGATGATTCGACTTCAAGGAATTGGTAATGTGCACATCATGTCTCAGACACGTGGCCATTTGCCATGTTCTGTTTTTGCTGGTGTTATCTGTCTGTGCTGGTTAGCTGTTGCTGGTTTTTTGCTGGTTGCTGGTTTTTTACTTGTTGCTGCTAGCTGTTCTGTTTTTTTCTGATGGTTCTTGCTTGATCGATGCTGGTTTTTGCTGGTTGCTGCCTTTTTTGTTGATGACGTTTGCCATGATGTGATGTTGCTGCTTTGTTTCTGGATGGTGCTTATTACAGTTACTATTAAAGCATTGTTGTCCAGATTGCTGTTTCGCACACTTTTTCTTTCCTTGATCTTACATACTGTTTTTCCTTTTGCTATGGGGATGGAGGGTCTTCTTTTCTCCCATTCAGAAGATCAACCATCCCCTATGAAATCTCTCTTGTATATGAACCTCATTATGCTTTGTCACTTTTTCTTTTTTGGTGAGTAAGATGAATGCTCAACCCAACATCAAGTGGAAAATCAACTAATTTCACTGAGTAAAAATTGTTTCCCCCATGAATTGGCAGTAGGAAAGATTTCAGATACCCACTCTAACCCACTCTCTATATACTATTTCTTAACCAATTTACCTCGCTCAACACTAAAAAATCTCTCTCACCCACTCTCTGTTTCCCATTTCACCTTTTTGGCTCTCCAAATCTGGCGAGCTTTTCTCTCTCTCTCTCTCTCTCGGTTCAACCAACTTTCCCTTTTTCCATTTTTTATATTTTAACTTTTTTGTTTCGGTTCTTCCTTTTTCTATCTCATTGATTTACTAAAATTTCATGACAATTTAACTAGAAGAATCCAAAACTGTACTTTTTTTTTTGGGTTGAATTTTAGGTTAAATATGACCGTTAAAAATTTGCCAATGACATAGTAAGTTATGTGATATTTTTAATTTATATTATTAAAAGTTAGTTGAATTAATTAGTTAAAATAAAGAACACGGTTAGAGTGAATATGTAAAAGTGATTTTTTAAAATAAAAAATATAATATTTAAATATATTGAATAGATAAAATGAAGAGTTGAGCTAGAGTTACCTAATTCATGCTCTACATTTGTGTACGTCTCCAACATCACTGTCGTTCATGTACTACCTAATTCATGCTCCTTTTTTTTTTTTTTGTTCTTAGGGAACGTAACCCTTTTGGTTTTTTTTCATTTATATAGATTAATGGCACTTTATTCAACTAAAGTTTGCAACAAGTTATACTTACACTCTCAAAATTAAAATATTTCACGTAATATTTTTAACTTTTTCAAATTTGCTGTAATGTATCCCTAATTGACACATGACAAACATGTCTGACCACGTGCTACTCACATGTCTTGCAGTAAAAAGTTTTGGAGGTTAAAAGTTCCTATTCTTTTTAGGGTTAATCTCATTTTACATTCCGAAAAATTATTTGAATTTTAATTTGTACACTCAAAGATCAAAAATCTCAATTTACACCCTCAAAGATAGAAATTTATATCAATATGCACCTCCAAAGATCAAAAATCTCAATTTGCACCCTCAAAGATAGAAATTTATATCAATGTACACCCCAAAGATAAAAAATCTCAATTTGCACCCTTAAAGATAGAAATTTGTATCAATGTGCACCTAAAACTAAATTGATAAATTATACCTAGATTCCCTCATACTTGTCACTTAATCATTTAGACCTCTTCACATTTAGAATATTACTCCTACATCTTATGACATTTGTGCACGTATAACACGTAACCCATTTTCATTGATATCTATTAATATAACCGTTAAAAAATATAATTTTATCCTAATAAAAAATTATAATTTCATATTATCATTTATTTTATGGGTTCAATATATTCTAAAGTTCAAAATCTAATTTACCATTTGAATGTCTAATAAAATGTAAATATTTATATAATGTTTTTCATATTACCTTTTATATAAATATCTACATTTTATTAGACATTCAAATGGTAAGCTTGATTTGCAACTTTAGAGTATATTGAATCCATAAAATAAAAGATAATATAAAATTATAATTTTTTATTAGGATAAAATCATATGTTTTAACGATTATATTAACAGATATCAACGAAAAGTGGTTATGTGTTGCACATGCACAAACGTCATGAGATGTAAGGGGAATATTCTAAATGTGAAGGAGTTCAAATGATTAAGTGACAAATATGAGGGGATCTAGGTATAATTTATCAATTTAATTTTAGGTGCACATTGATACAAATTTTTATCTTTGAGGGTACAAATTGAGATTTTTGATATTTGGAAGTACAAATTGAGATTTGAACAATCTTTTAGGGTACAAAATGATATTAACCATTCTTTTTATGATTATTCCCTCTCTGAGGTCGTGTTAGATTTCTATACCCCTCAAGTTGTGGGAAATCAAACATTTATTTCGGTTCATGATGGTGTATTTCTTTTTTGCTACATTAACTCAACTCAATAATGATCAAATTATAACCATTTAAACTGCTGAATTATGATAAATTTCGAATTAACTCATTGACCTTAGCATCTTAGTAAAGCAAACACTAATAACATCTTTCTCGACATATACAAAACCCATGAATGGCGATCGATGTACACCCGTAATTTTGGATCCAAATCCACTCTAACACTATATTTAGTAAATTCTTTACCCACCATGAATCTAAATGGATCTACCGCATTTGATAGGGTTTTCCTACCAACCAATACAGGATGAATGATATGACATTGAAACAATTGATATAATCTGATACTATTGTGGATTAGTTCTGTCCCTCTATTGTCTACTTTAAAGTTTAAAACATGTTAGGCATGCCATGACTTACGCCACTACCTTAGTTATATAGGTCTGAATAAAAAAGTATTCAAGAGTCTACGAATTCTTCACTGAACATGTCTAGAAACCACATAATGAATGTAATTTTCATCTGTTGTGTATTGAGTCAGATTGCATTTTCTTAAATTCAAAGGCCACAAAATGTGCTTGTTCCATATTCTGATAAATGTATACAATTCCGACTAGGAATGGATAAGATTATCATACTGACTTAGTACCATATCGAAATTTATCCCAATTATTGATTTTATTTTGGATAATTTGCAATCATTTCACAAAATAATAAAATTTTAGGGGTCGTTTGGTTGCAGTATCAAGGGATGTATTAAAGGATCATAACAAATTAAAACTCTTTAATCCAACCTTATATTGCATTTGGTTGCAAAAAATATTTCGTATTATATATAGTCTTATTTCAAATACTTATCCACATAATACATTATATTCGTACTATTGAACCGATTATAATACCACAACTTAAGGAGTGGTATTGTAGTCTAGTTCAAATATATTAAGTTATAAATTTATCATTTTGCCCACCAAATAAACAAAAACATTAATAACTCGACCAAGAAAAGAACATAAAATAAGTTTTATTGTCGTAAAAAAGATTAAATAATCCGACCAAGCAAAAAACATAAAATACAATTTCCTGGGGCAACCACTAATTAAAAAAGAAACCAGAGAAATGTTGAAGCAAAAGATGGTGGAAGCGTAAGGTTCACGTTAACAAATACAAAATCAACGGCGCTGGAACATGGGCATTATTTTATTGTTACAACTCTGATTCAAGTAGATACTTTATGAACAAAATAAGTTAGTAGACATGTGAAACAACTGATAGTCATTATGTTTCCTGACGCTGGAACATGTCAATTGTGCAACTGGTATCTATGGGACACTGGTATATATTCAGAAGATCTTTGAAATCTCTCTTGTACATGAACCTCAATATGCTCTTTCACTTTTTTTTTGGTAAGTAAGATGAATGCTCAATCCAACATCGAGTGGAAAATCAAGTAATGGCTTACACTTTCAATGGAATCCTTCATGGATGGTCTCAAGATATACGAAACCCATAAATGGCGATCGATGTACACCCGTAATTTTGGATCCAAATCCACTCTAACACTATATTCAGTAAATTCTTTACCCACCATGAATCTAAATAGATCTACCGCACTCGATAGGATTTTCCTACCATCCAATACAGGATGAATGACATGACATTGAAACAATTGATATTATAATCTGATACTATAGTGGATTAGTTCTGTCCCTCTATTGTCTACTTTAAAGTTTAAAACATGTTAAGCATGCCATGACTTACGCTACTACCTTAATTATATAGGTCTGCATAAAAAAGTTTTCAAGAGTCTACGAATTCTTCACTGAACATGTCTAGAAACCGCATAATGAATATAATTTCACAAAATAATAGAATTTTATATGTGATAAATTTTTAGGGATCGTTTGGTTGCAGTATCAATGGGTGTATTAAAGAGTCGTAACAAATTAAAATTCTCTAATTCAGTTTTATATTGTATTTGGTTGCAAAAAAATATTTTGTATTATATATAGTTTTATTTTAAATGCTTATCCAAATAATACATTTTATTCATACTATTGAGCCGATTA